TTACTCTGTGCTTACATGACTCTGCATTAATATGTCTCAAATATCCATCACAATAAATGGAATTACAGAAGCAATATGATAGAAGGCAAATAATGATGAAATTTATGTCCTGGTAATGAGCATGTCACTCTGTCAGTGGAGTGAACCATGTCTTCTCGTGATGTAGCTCAATCCTATAGGTACCACCTTAAGGAGGTGCCTGGATTGAATTGAAGGAAACATCAGGTTAATTATATGTTGAAGTGATTGCATAAATCATGTAAAAATTAGAAATTCTTCGGTATCATTATTTGTAATTTTGCTTTGGCATCTAAAGACCTACAACACATTAAGCAAACCTGAATGTTGAATATATGTATTACCTGCTCCTCCTGTAAATCTTGAATATCCACTAACAGTACCTGAGTAATGATTTTCCTAAAAACAGAGACTGAAACTCCTTCAGTTTGAGATAAATATTATGAAATCAACTCATACACAAAAAAGAATCCATAAAAACTATAATTTGTAAGGAATGGAATAAATTGACAAAGGATAAGATCTGAAGTATAACAGATGTGAATTTTACAAGCCTAAGTACAACACTGCACTTCAATATTAAGTAACATAGATATTTTAATTAGATGCAGTAAATTTTAGTGCACAGTTTAATAGCTGACACTGCCTTAGTCTGGTTCAGCATGACAGTGGTAGGACAAAGGTGCAAAGAAGCATGTGAGATACTGAGGAGAATGTTGCACAACGTTCATGTTTCATCGTGCAGTGCTGCTATCATTGCTCTCTTTTGCCTTATGTACTCTCCCTTCCTCGTGCATCACAGCTGTTCACCTCTTGTCACTGGTAGTGACCAGCAGTCAGAGACCCACACTGCACATCTGGCAACAATTCCTTGAAGTCTTCCAAGATATCCATGCCTTTCTTCTGCTATGCTATAGCTCTGCACAACAGCTACATGGGCACTTGTATACTATTTGTTACGCTGGTTGTGTAGATCAGTGCTGCAGAGCCCTGCCAATTCAGATTTCAACAAGCACTGTGTGCACTTGTCATTCTGTTTGCTGACCCAAGCTGAACATGCAGGAATGTTGTCGCAGACTCTGCAGCAGCAGGTCTCTCTCTGTCATGTATGTCCATACAGCCTGATGGCATCCTTATATAAGTGCTAGCCATGCTGTTCCATAGGTCTTATTATGGATGCCCCATGATCTGTGTGCCTGCCAAAGACCACATAGACCTCCAGATGCAGAAAATCATTGTATCAGTGTAGGCATGGTCCATCAGGACATTTCTGAAATGGGTGAATTTACAAACAGCAGACAGTTCACCTCCAGTCATGGTTCTGGCACAACTTTTTTTCTTGGAGCTGACCAGCTAATTGACCAGCTAGCGCTCTTAGTTTCTGTCTTGTTTGTGGCTTATTAAAACCAAGCTGCAGAAAAATAAAAAAACTCACCTGCAGCTGGAAGTCCTCCTTAGGATTCATCACCAGTGCAGATTATTGTGGGGAAAAAAATCACAGATGTTTTTTTGGCAACAGCTCTAAGTCTAGAAAGCTTGAGCAGTTTCCCAGCAGGCAGGCAAGATTCCAAAACTTACTTGGAGCTGTGGTTACACTGTCCTGTCCAATACATTTGAGTAGAACAACCTGAATAAGATTAGTCCAGAAATGCTTCCAAGTTTCTTTCTATTTAAGGTGAGGAAATCTTTGGCTAGGGCTCAGTCGATCCTGACTGCAGTGACTAAGCACCTTAAGAAGTTCTCAGGAAAGCTAAGTGTACTTCTTAGACTTCAAAGTCTGGATTGACTGACTTTCAAAAGCTTTAGTGCTGTTAGAGGCCAAGCTGGGATCTTGAGGTCACTTCTGATGATCCATTTCTCATATACGCTGAGTATTGCAATAGTTACAAAAAAAAAATTGGAGGGTGTGCGAATCCCTGCAGCCTTCTCAGGACACAACCAGTAACACTTTTGGGGCTCATGTACAAACTAACGACAAACACTATAAGTGGACCTTTCACTTCACTACCTACCCATTGCTCTTGATTATTCCAACAAATTTTAGAATACACTATAATTGGGTGGGCTTTTACTCATTCTGGCTCATGCAGGACTACAATCACTCCTTTCCTCTTCAGGGTAACTGGTGATATATCACCCCATAAAAACAAAAAACCAACCGCCAAAAACCAATCAAGAAGCACAGTGATAACTGCAACCTACAGTAAATCTGTGAAGTTATTTGGAATACCTTGAGGCAAAAGACCCAACCAGTCTGACCCGCACTAACTAATGGTCTGTGGGCACTGATACCCCACTGAACACTTCATGCCCCATTGTCTCAGATTCCTATTAGGAACAGTGGCTGTTTATGCAGTATCTGTAGAATATCAATCAAGACATGAGCAAGTGATTTCCCCTCTCATTTTCTAGCAATCTTAGATAACAAGATCAGTAAGAAATGACAGGCAAAGAAAACGTAAGCCATGTGGATTCATTTGATGGCAGGGATTTCCATAGCACTGCTGGGGCCTAAGAAACTTGTGAACATTTAACACTGGCTCTGTCCCAGCTGGACTCTGTCATAGTTGAGCACAACAACATTGCACACTAGTTGGGTGTGACTGCTTCTTGTCCAGCTGTGCAAGATACTGGACTTTGGATTGGGGTACAAAACTGACAAGTGATTTCTGACATTGGAGGCCGGAAGGTCTGAGTGGGCAGCATGAAGGAGGTTAAGCAGAATGGTCTTGTTTGTAAAACAGGACGTGGTTATTGTGTAAGTGCTGGAGGGCCCAAAGAAGCTCTCAAATACAGTAGCTAAATTCTGAGAGATAAAGAGGATATTTACTGAGCTAAAATACTAAAAGGCCTTTTACTGTTCCAACTGATGTCCCAGTGAACCCAACAAACTTTTTCACTAATTTACTGTAGAAAGTTTTTTGAAACATTTTTACAGGCTGAGCTGAAGTCCCAGAGAACACTTGAATGGTATTAACCTGAAAGCATGAGGGAGAGGAGCTAGTGTTGGTCCCACCAAGTGTGTATTGTATCACTTGCCTCAGTGTTTGCATGTATCAATACAAGGTTGCAACAATGAATGAGGTGCTCCTCTTAGGCTCTAATATAAACGGAAAATCAAATCCAATCTTTCCTCTAAAAATGTACAGTCCAAATAAAGAATGCATTCATAGACCAAGCATACAGTAGGTAAGAAAAAGAAAGAGACTGTAGTATGCAAAAGGAGAGCTTTTAATGTCCTTTAATTTGTCACCCAGTTTTGAGGGGGCTGTTGCTGTGATTAATATTCCTATTAAAAAATCATTTAGTTGTACTACCAAAGTTGTATCTAGGAGTGTTTGCACAGCCTGGCCTAAAACATACTGAACAGGACTCAAAGGGACTATAATTTATATTCTTAAAGTTATACATGTACCTGTCTTTACCGGTAACAGCTTATATTTACCATTTAAACATGGTCAAGTTCTACCAGCTTCCTCCCAGTTCAGTGTGTTATAATGAGCATGTGGGAATAGATGGGAAAATAGACATTAATTCTGTAACTTATACACAGTTAGCTAAAATATGTTACAGATAATTAAAGACATGATGAAACTGCACATATTCATCTCTTAAAATTAAGTTGATTTTCACATCAGATATTTACTGAACCTTATTTAAGTTTACTTCTTTCTTTTTCCTAGAATTTTTGTCATCTTTGGAAGCATTCTTTCACATTTTACCAAGATGATTTCAGGAAACGTCCAACATTTCTGTCCTAGTAATGCAAAGAACAGCTCTGTAAGTTCACTTTGCAAGAATATGTGGACTATCTTGGTCTCTTTAAATGTTTGTACATCACATACTGGCAATACAGCTGTAAATTAACAAGAACTTACAGGTCTAAGAAGAGTTTGTGGGATTTTTACTTCTGGGGTTATGCAGATGGCTGCATTGTAGCAATTCCACTGCATTTGGATTATGCTCACCCCTCAGAGCACTAGGGCACTGGACACTGGGCTAACACAGTGTGCCTGGCCATCAGGCTGGAGACATCACCCGAAAGGACCATTTTCCAGTGTGCGGAGCCTTCTACTGCTCAGGCATCCATGCTGAGGCTAGGAAATGTGAGCCAACGTCTTGACTCCCATCTCTACAAGTTTTCCTCCAAAAGGAATTGATCAGTTAATTTTAGCTGAAAAGAAGTTCAATAGCGAGTCACAAATAATTATGACCTCCATGAATAAAGAAACATGACTGAGATGGAATAATATCTACTGCCTGACCACTGACTATCCCAAACTGCAATCTCGCAGTAAAAGAAAAATAAAAGCAAATACAGAATACAGTACAACAGGGGCTAGCAGAACGAAACGTTTGGCCCTGTGCCATCTGTTTAAATTGGTTTTGCAGCCGTAAAAATCAATGGAAGCACCTTCGTAACCCCGGCGCTCGCCTTGCGACGGCAGAGCTGTCCGTGACTCCGCCGGTCGGTGCTGTGCAGCTCGGCCCCAGCGCTCTGTCCAGCGGCACAGGAGCGCTCCCGGGCCGCCCGGGTGAGCGGCACGGGGGGATCGCACCTGCTCCGCGCTCGCCCGCAGCCCCGCCGCCGCCCGCCGCTCGCAGCGCGCATGAGCGGCCGCCCCGCCGCTACCGGGCCGGGCGCCGCGGTATCGCCGCCGCCGCCGCTGCTCCTCCCCGGGGCGCTGCGCTCCGCGTTGTCAGGCAAGGGGGAGCGACCGAGAGGCGGGGGAGGCTCCCTCCGCGGCAGGAGGAGGAGGAGGAGGCGGAGGAGGATGGTTGTGGGGGCGGGCGGCGGCAGGCGCTGGCAGCAGCCGGGAGAAGCCCCGCTGGTGACTGGCTGGCGGCACACGCAGCTCTGAGGAGGAGGCGGAGGGTGCTGAGCCCAGCGGAGCCGCGGGGCGGGCGGCTGCTGCTGCCGCTGCTGCCGCGGGGGGAGAGGCTGCGGCGGCGGGAGGGGACCGGCACGCGCGCACGCACGGGGCCGCGGGCGGCGAGCGTGGGACCGGCGGTGGCGGCGCTCGGTGGGCTGACCGACTCCTGTTTGCTTGGCTCCAGTCTCCGTCTCCGAGCCCGCGGGCCCCGATGAGAAGCGCCCCTGCGCTGCCGGACTGACGCCTCGCCGCCCTCCCCGCGGACGAGGAGGAGCGCGGCGCCCCCGAGCGCGGCCGCCCCTGCACCGCCCGCCCTCCCTTCCCTCCCTCCCGGCGGGGCTCGTCTGCCGCCTGCGGGGCGGGCGGCGCGGCCGTGACAGCGCGGCGGCGGCGAGGCCGGGGCAGCGGGAGCGCCGCCGCCGAGGACCATGAGGAAATTTAACATCAGGAAGGTGCTGGACGGCCTGACGGCGGTCTCTGCCGTCGCCTCGGCGTCGTCCGCCGCGCAGCAGCAGCAGGCGGGGAACCGGGAGACCGAAATCCAGGAGACGCTCCAGTCCGAGCACTTCCAGCTCTGCAAGGTGAATGAATGCTGCAGCCCCGAGCCGGCGGGCGGCCGGGGAAGGGGGCGCGCCGCCGCGATGGGCGCTGCGGGCTTTGCTCCTCCGTACCCACCTCGCCGAGCCTGCCCGCCGCTCCTGTTTACTTGTTTGGATTGGTTATTTCGGGGGCGAAGACGGGAAGAAAGTGGTGCGTGTAGGTCTTATCGGATTTCTTTAGTCATTTTTCTTGGAGAGTTTCGGGGTTTGTCGTCGTCTAGGCTCTTTTGTGCGAGTAATCCTGACAGTGTTCACTAAGGCTTCGTAGAAAGAGTTGGATGGATGGGGGAAGGAGTGATACTTAGCTGTAGTACAGCTCTGATTATCGCGGCGTTTGAGTAAAGCCTCTGCTAATGGGCCCGAAGGACAGGAAATCTGTCCCTCTGCATTATTTGGAAAACGTTTATCCTGCTCCTTTATGCCTGAAAAAGGCTTTCGATGTTTGTGGTGGTTTCACTGCAGTGTGTTGCCAAGTTGGTGATGCTGCTATTGCAAATCCTATCTAGAGGCGAAGTTCCCGTTTATTTATTTGCTTCTGTGTGATATGATAACTGCAGTTTGTGTCTGCACGCTTCAGAAAATGATGCAGCGAATTAACCACCAGCTGTATCAAGAGGAATAAAAGCTGATTGGAATATCAATTTCATTTTTATCTTTGCAGTGCACTCATGGCCTAACTTGACATGGATGAGCTTGTTTGTGGACTCTGCTCAGTTTTTTTGTGTATTGCAGGCATTTCTGCTGCTTTCAGGAGTTGGTCATGAAGGATGTGAAGAAGAGCAGAGCTGTTGCCAGTTAAGAGTTTATTCAGTTGTGAAATACAGAGAGTTGTGGGATATGCCTGCAACTTCAGTGAAGTACAAGGAGTATATCAGGAGCTTGCTGTGCGTTTATGAGGTCATGAAATACCTCTGCTTTAAACTAAAGCCTTAGAAATGGAAAAGCTGGCATTTGTATGGCTTAAGATGTGTGCATTTAGAGTGGAAGGAAGAGTAGATGTCACTTGTATTATGTTCTCAGTTCTGATTAATTGCAGCCTGAGAAGTTTAATGGAGTCATTGCTTGGTCAATTACCAAATTAGTCTTGGCTAACCAAAAAAGCTAAATGTGCCAATAGCTCCATATTAACAAAGAATCCCGTGGTTGAGGGGGTTTGCCTTTGTTCAATGAGGTATTTTTCGGTTTGGTCAATTCTGGGGCTGCCTGTTCTATTTGAGGGAAGTAGAGGATAAGGGATTGATTCTGTCAAGCTCAAGTTGCTATTTTTTTTTCTTTACTAAGCTGAGAGGGGTTGCACTGTCATGTTGGTCTGTTGGATTGAAATGGAAGTGATTCTCAGAAAAGCAAGTCTAGTAGTTTATAATGGTTCTGATGATAAGTCTGGCTTTGTTGCCAAACTTGCTAGGAACATCTCAGATTTTAATAGTTTAGTGTCTTTGTTAGAGCTGAAAATAAGATTACTCAGGGAATGAGGTAGATGAAAAAATTAAATGCTGAATTGATACAGTCTTTATACAAAAGAAATGTAAGATTCAAATTAAGTTTCAGAAAGTCTGACTGTCTCTTGATGCTCGAAGATGAATGAGTAATTATGACTAAAAAGTCTTTTGTAACTGATTTGTGTAAGGCAGGTGATTTTCTCAGTCTGTGATTAAATTGCTTTGTAGTTCCTTTGAAATTGTGATTAACATTGAATCCTGTTCTCTAACATAGTCTTGGTTCTGTTTATTTTTGGTATCCTGCCTGACCCATTGTTACTGCGCTGCTCTGGCTTGTTAGACTGTACGCCACGGTTTCCCCTATCAACCTTCAGCCTTGGCATTTGATCCTGTTCAGAAAATACTGGCCATTGGGACTCAGACTGGAGCACTAAGGCTGTATCCTTTTGTATTCTGAAGTGGATTTAGTGCACCTCACACAGGTGATGTCTTGATTCAGCTGCTGGAACCATTCAGAAGTCTGGTGGGAATCAGGTATGCCGGAGGGGAGTAAAACAGCAAGCTCTCTCTGCTGTTGGTGGGTGGCTTGGTTGTTCTGCTTGTTCTTTGTGTCAGTTTAAGTTGTGTAAATGATGTGAGGTATGGCTGCTCAGTTGCCATTATCTCAAGGTAGTAGATAAATTTTGTAGAGGGTTACTAGTGTGCTGACAATTTACAGCAGCTGACTGCAAATCTAAAGAGAGACGTGGGCTGAGCTCTGTTTTGTTGTTCTGCTCTATCCTCTGGGGTTGAAACATTCTGTGCTGCTTGGTGAGGTGGTGTTTGTTTGTTTGGGGTTTTTTGGTAGGGTTTTTGGTTGGGCTGCTTTCGGGTGGTGGACTTGTTCTTAAGATAAACTTTGTAATGCTCTAGTGACCTGTTACTACTGTGTTGCCAAATGAGGGTTTCAAGTGGGGGCAGTAAAAGGTACAGGGATTGTATCTTGCTAAAAGCTTCCAAGTAACAGAGAGAAGCGGAATGAATTTGTGAAGTAAAGCACTAGTAACCCTGCTTCTTTTTGTTCACTAAAATGTGAACTACCCATATGTTTGTAGCCATATGGTACCACAGCCATATGCTACTATCCCAGCCATGTAACAACATATGTGTTTAAACTTATATTTTTCAAAGAAGGTGTCCTGTAGTCTTTAATCCACACTACTGTTGTCAGAACCTTTAGTTGTCAACATAAGAAAATGAATTGAATTCTTTGTTGTCCTGAAATTGACTGAATTCTAAACATTATGGGTGACGCTTAGGTCATCTTCCTAGAGAAATTGACTTAATCCTCTTTAAATTGTAGGTAAATCTAACAATTTCCTTTGGTGTTTATATTAGTCTCCAAGTAGCCCTTTTTTGTTTATTTCTGGTATATTACTACCCTGTCTATAAGGTTAATTGTCATAAGAGGGTTAACTTTTAAAAGTTGAAAAATGAGATTTCTGTTATGAACTCTTCAGATTTCTTAACTCAGAACATGAGGAATAAGGGTAATAATGCAATGTTCTTAATGCCATATTTGAAACTACACTTAATCAATTTTCTTTTTTAAGAGGTTATAGAGCTGACTTACATGAAGGGTGGTGTTAATTACTCTCATATTGGTAGAATAGATGAGAAAGCAAAAATAGACATAGAAGTTAGAACTTGGTTTGGAGGCAACGAAGAGATTAAAATGTACCTGTTTAGAGCGTACTCACCTGTAATTTTGGGCAACATGATGTTGCAGTTTGGGTAATGATGACTCAACAAAACCTGTTCCTGGGCACTCAACCATGGCTACACACACCTGTGAATTCTTGGAGTGTGAATTGCTTTGTAAATAATTGAGAGAGGTATTGCAAGATTGTTTGGGAAGAAAGCATTACTGCGAGAAAATGACAGAAAATGCGTTCTCTAAAGGAAGGGAAGAAGTTTCATGCAGAGGCTGAAATGTTAGTGCTCCTCTAACTTGATGAAAATGAATATGCTTCTTAGTCCTTTGATACAGCTCTTGGTTCTTGGAAGAGCTGGTTAAAAGCCCTCAGCTGATAGAGTAGCCCTGTAACCAGACAGCACTGCAGAATCTGCATCTCCTGTGATTACCTCCTCATTGTGATGGAGGAATGCAGGCAGAAGGAATAGACTCAGACATATTCCCAATGTAAAAGCAGTCTCTTGCTTTTTGCTGGTTTGAGAAGAGTGGGTAAGAGTGAGGCTTGCAAGAAGTGCTTATTTCATTCTATTGCTCAAAGATAGAGCCAGCCCTCAGGATGCTTTGCCCGCTAAGGTTTTTATTAATAATAAATTATGTGCAAGGGTTCATTAAAGTGGGATCCACTTACTCTTTAAAGCTGCAAAAGTGTTTTTAATTGAACTGAGGTGTGGATTAGAAAGGCTGAATATCAGTAAAGTGTTATTCATTGAAAAATCATAGAAGTACAATGGAAGGCAGTCCTAATTTTCCTCTGTGTTCATGTTGTGAGAGTATAGAAGTAAAGGAATGATAATGTTTCTTTCGTTGCCTACCAGCAAATGGGAGGTGGGTATTAGTGTTTTCCTTGTGTTTTCAAGTATAGGTACATCTTTTTATGCTTTCTGTTGTCTGGGAACAGGGAAACAAGTTGGGGGTTGTTTTTTTTGGAAAGGGTATTAAAGGTAAAATATTCTTAAATCAAGGAGCGAGAACCTGTTTGAGATTTCATTAATATGCGAGGAAAATAATGGTACAGTCGTGGTTTGGCTTTGGACTATTTATCAGACTCTTTACAGAGGTTCTCTGTATTTGATCAGTCTTCAAATTGGTTATTTTAAATTCTGAACCAGTATTGTTCAGAGCAGGTTAATGTGAGGAGTTTTCTAAATCACACTCTTGCCTTATTCTTCTTTACGAGGCCTCTGTAACCACTACTGGAAGGACAGAGTGACTTCTTATGCACAAGTACTGCATGTTTGCAATACTGTTAAAATTATTTGTAAAAACAGAACTGAAGCTTTTTCTGAAGAACCAAAATCCATGGTTACAAATATACTGCCAGTTCAATGATGTTGTCTTTCTCTATCTTAAATATACTGAACATCAACACTGTATTGAATTCTCTAAATCCACAAAGTAATTGTAAAAATGGAAGTACCTAAATTATAGGTATCATGTTGCACTTACGGGATTATAAGTAGAATTACTATTCTATTAATATTTTTTGCCTCTAGGCTCGATGGGTACAGTTGGTAACATAGTATGCCAGAGGGGCAACTTTACCGTTCTATGCCCATAAGCAGCAGTTGGTTGTAGATCCTGCAGTTTTAAGAGGGAGAGAAGTCTGTAAAAATATGAGGAAGAGACTGCTTTTAGTGTAAAACTTTAAACTTATGAGTCATGAAAGTTTGGGATTATTCACTGGTTCAACTTGAGCAGTATATCCCTTGTATTCATTTAAAAAAACTTGATTAGTTACTAAGAAACATTTCTAACTATTATTTTCAGGAGATTTAAAACCAAGATTTTTGGAGGTAGATGGATCCTTAATTAGAGTATTTTCCCGCCCCAAAAAGAACAGTTTTAGCTATTAATAACAGAAATTCTGTTCTCACCTGTGAACAACAGCTGGGTTACTTTACGGTGTATAAGGAAAAGTTACAAAGTGAGTAGCTTAGTAGAGTAGAGCCAGCTGATGTGGCCCTCTTCCTGACACTAGGATCTGTTAAAAACAGTTAAGCTGTTGGATTCTGTTTTCTCTGTTGCTAGGGAAATTGAGGGATGAGGTAGACACAAGGGCAGAAGCACTGTGCTGAGTGACATAAAATCTCAAATGATTTGTCACGAGCACTCACCTGGACATGCTGGTCCAGCTGTTCCTCTGAGTTTGTGGTGTGGTTGGAGGATACTTGTTCCAGCTGTTTGAGGTGAGTCTTGGCTGGTGGCCTGCTTCTTGTGTGGCAATTCTGCCTTAGGCTCCCTCTTGTCTGTGCTGGATTTTTGTGAATGTGATCCCCACAGGGAACAATTGTACTCCCTATTGATTTCAAACTGCTATGGTCAATGTAAGCTGCTGGTGGCCTCTTTTGTCACTGCAGGTCAGTATCTTAGGTTTTCTCCATACTTGGAGGGATTTAGCTGCTGTTACCAGGGTAGTTTTCACCTTTTGATCTACTGTCACAATATGTTAGATATTGTTAAAAATGTGTCTGTGCTTTGCTTCTTTTCTGTGCATACCTGGACCATTACAGTAGGACATACAGTCCTTGGTCTTAAGACCATTTTGTGCATAATTGGCTGTGCTTTGTTTTCCCAGCAGATATCAAAACCTTCTAATGAGTTAGAGTTCAGTTTATCTACTCAAGGTTTAGCTTGGTGTAATCAGTTAGACTTTACCCCGTGACGTCCTGACAGTGCTCAGTGTCAAGAGTAATAACCCTGCTTTTGTGCTCTTCATTACTTTTGCTTTTCTATTTAGAAGGCCCTCTGGAAGCCTAATGTGATCTGAACAGGGGGGTATGTAAACTCTGAAGAGGCTAGAGAAAGCTTACAACATCTTTCTTGGGGTTTTTTTTGCCTTTAGGATGGTGTTTTCTCAGAAGTTCTAAGTCCAGGGCTGTGTACAATTAATAATAATAGTCAGCTGAGCTTTTTTTATTTGCTTTTATAAGGTAGAATAGTCTTTGAAGCTAATGCAGAAATATTGAAGGAATTCTCCTGGTCCCTACTGTTTAACTGCTCCATCTTAAACAAGTTTCTTTATTTTTCTTCACTTTAATTTTTCTGTAGCAAAACTAGGACAATATATCAAATTAGATGTTTTGTGATAATTTCCCAACATAAATACAGTATCTATTTTTGCTTTGTGCCTTAAAAATATGCATTTGAGGCATGAAGTTCAGCCTCTCTCTTGATAGAAGGAGTTCTGGAAAGGAAGACCATTTTCATTAGAAATAATTGAGAATTAAGGGAATACCTGTAAGTGTTCTACCTTCCACACAGACCAAATTGTGCCTCTGACTCCTTATTCCCAAGCAGAATAGGTTATTTAATTAAAGTTTGGCTTTTTTTTCCCCTCTTGCAATCCAAGTTCACAGGGAGGAGAAAAATTAGATTGTTCATCATTCCATCATTAAAAAATCTGAAGAAGCCAATCGTCCTGAATGTCAGTATCTGTTAATTTCCCCACAGTCTTGTCAGGACAAAAAGATGACTTCTGCAAGAAAATGGCTGAAGTTTTTATGTGTTTGGGGTCTATAAAGCTTTTTTTTTTCCTGTAATTTCCATTCTCCAGCCTTTTTGGGAACTCACTTTTTTTTAAAAAATCACAATAGCTCAAAAGCCTGGGTATGTGGTTCCATGCAGTCAGTTTCTGATGAAGTGCTTGTTGCAGCATCTGGATTGCTTTGCCATAGATATATACTACAAAATTCAAGCAATTTGG